CCACCCTATCTAGAGCTATAGGGTAGGTACTCTTTGAAACAAGTCAACAATCCTTATTCAATGGTGCTCCAGCTTTTCCAGCACATTGCTAGACTTCCTAGAACCCATAACACACCTTAGAGGCCCGAGGGATTAGGTAGGGAACCAATCACATGTGAAGACACCTTGAAAAACGCATGGAAAAACGACACAGCACGTCTGGCGACCGGTTGCACGTTCCTGGCGACCGGTCACTTTGCAATCTGTCTAAAAGCAACCGGTCGCAACTACCTGGCGACCGGTCGCCTGCCGCGAGCTCCAGCTTCTTCTTCAGACCTCGAATCTGCTTCAAAATGACCGGTCACTTTTCCCTTGCGACCGGTCGCTTCCTCCTTCACTTGCATACTAAATGTGAGCCAATTTTACAACAGGAAGCACAATGAAGATAAGGGTGGAGCCTCCTCTACACTTGCAGAGACTTTATGTGGCTGGTTGCAGACCCATCATTGGAGTGGATGGATGTCATTTTAAGGGTCCTTTCTCAGGTAATAACTACAACAAATGGTTTGAATAAACACTCAAATTAGCAAATGGTTCTTACTCATGTTTGTCTTCTCATGGCAAATTTTGGTTTGAGCGAACAATTTCAGATAAGAGTAGGGGCGCCAAGAATATCTATCGGAACCAGGGGGTGAGTGAGAGTGAGGCTATCTGCCTCTGAGCAGATCTGTTTGTACTTGAATTTATTTTGATTTGTAAACTAGAGTTTGAATATTTAAGACATGCCTTGCATTTCATGCTAGCTACAACACTAGTACAGTAGTATATCTTGGACAATGGAGTCATGTGTTCATCAGCCAAAATAAATCAATTTTTAATTTTATTTCATTATCTTGTTTTATATGAAATATTGAAAATGCATGATATTTTTACGTAGTAGTTAGGTATTCTGGATATCCTTTTTGCGTTAAAAGAAAATATTGTGGGGGCAATGCAATCCCATGCACAAGACCATTAATCTTTTCAATTTACGTATGCATGAAATGCAACGTTTCCTTAAATTATTCCCCTGTTTTCCTCTGTTTTAGAACTCTGGGTACATATTTAATTTCACCAATTTATGCAAAATCTTAAGAATATTAGTAGAAGAATTGGGAGGGCTAGGCAGAACTATACATACTACTGCTTTAGCCAATGGGAGAGAAGGGGTTTCAAATCACTGGTTCAATTTATGTATTGTAGCAACAAGCCTAGTAGGAGTCCATTACTTTTTCAAATCATGCATCGATATTGTCCCTCCCCACCTTCATCATCTAGGAGGGAGAAGGCTCAATGAACCTCTAGGTGTAAGATTTTATCACAAAAGGCATTGGTGCAATTAGGAGTGGACTACCTATATATTTGAACGATATATTAATGTTTTATTCTTCGATGTGGGACTTACACATCATGGCTTGTATCGAGCCACTTACACCAACATTGTGATGTGGTGTTTTATCACTAATTAGTAATTAGCATTCATGGATTCCTCTTCCAAAGAACATGACTTGGAAATAGTTGTATTATTTGTTGCATAATAGGAGAGCCACGCTTGAGCTCTTTTTTCTTTGTTCTTCTATTCTTTTTTGAGGTCAAATAAATACCATCTGATTCTGATCTAATACCCGAGTGCTTATGCTTTAATTTTATGTGAAAACAAGGTGACATGACATCAACGGATTAATAAAGTTCCCAATTGTTTTTTGAAATGTCTTATGGTCCAAAGTTGTCGTTTCAAATGTCTTAATTATGGTCTCAATTGTCTTTTGAAATGTCTTATTTCTGTCAATTACCAATGCAAAAGCAAACTGGGATTTGACCCCAAAAAAAAATAAAGAAGAAGAAGCAAACTGGGAATTTGCCACATAAAAGCAGTCAGTATTGACATTGCCTTGTTTCTTATATAAGAAGTGAACGGATGGGTGGATGAATTGAAGAGGGAGAGAGAGATGATGGCTAAGGCAGATATCAATGGCAAAGATCGTAGATGGTCTCTTCATGGAATGACTGCTCTTGTCACCGGAGGAACGAAAGGGCTCGGGTTAGCCTTCTCTTTCAATTTCCTAGCTTATTTTTTCAATCTGATCGTCAGTGTTTTCTTCTCAAAAAGAAAAACTTGTAACATGCATGAGACATCTAAAGTTATCAGACAGTCTACTAAGTGAACATTAATTTCTCTCTTTCCCACTTTTTTTTATGTATGGATCATAATTGCATAATATATAGGCATGCTATTGTGGAGGAATTGGCGGGGCTAGGTGCAATTGTACATACTTGTTCTCCAAATGAAGACCAGCTCAATGACTGCTTGAGTCAATGGAAGATGAAGGGTTTTCATCAAATCACTGGTTCAGTATGTGATCTGGTGTCAAGAGCCCAACGGCATGAGCTAATAAACGAAGTCTCATCACAGTTCAACGGGAAACTTAACATCCTTGTAAGTACTCCTTTCATATAAGTTGTATTTGGTGAGCCAAAACAAACAATTTATAGGCCAGTTGGCCAGGACAGTGAGCCGCTCCCTTGCACCCAAATTCGAATTCCCTTCCCAGTCGAAAGGCTTTAATTTTCGTCTTTTTGGTAATGAGAAACCAAGATAATGTTATTAAGAAAATTGGCCAGTACCCAAGGGAAGACCATTATTATACAGCTTTTCTTAATTGATTTTTGTTGAGTATAATGGATGGTGAGCTAGTCTCGTCCCTTCTCCATCATACCTCCATCATACTCAACATATGTTTTTTTTTCCTTTCTCGAAACTATTTTATTAAGAACTACATCTAAAATATGAAAATCATGATATCCAAGAGTTGTTCTAAAATGATCATCCTCTTGCAAATATATTTGGGTGTAGATAAATAATGTGGGAACTGCTGAAGTAAAACCAACAATCGAGAGCACAGCTGAAGATTACTCATTTATTATGAGCACCAATCTTGAATCAGCTTACAATTTGTCCCAACTTGCACATCCTCTTTTGAAAGCTTCAGGAGCTGGTAACATTGTTTTCATGTCTTCTGTTGCTGGCGTTGTATCAATTGGGGAGGTCGGAAGTATATATGCTGCCACTAAAGGTACTGCCCCCCTTCTTTTAACAAAGAAAAAAAGGAAAATCTCCTTTCAAAATTTAAAGTGTAAGCTGTGACTCTTTTATTTATTTATTTAAATTATATGTTTCAGGAGCAATAAATCAATTGGCAAAATCCTTGGCTTGTGAGTGGGGAAAAGATAACATAAGGATCAACAGTGTTGCACCTTGGTTCATCAAAACTCTCACGGCTGAACCTGTAGGATCCTAAATTTTTTAGTTTTCATGTTTATTGACGCATCATTTATTCAAATTTGAGTCTACTCCGAATTTTAGTTTTCTCTGACAATACGACTGATATATGAGTACTACCACATTATTTAGTAAGTACATTAAAACTTATCAATCTCTCTTCTTTACATGCATGCAGTATCTCAGTGACGAAAAATATTTGAAGGCTATTAATTCTCGAACCCCGTTAGGACGGCCGGGAGAGCCGGAAGAGGTGGCAGCGTTGGTGTCATTTCTATGCCTCCCTGCAGCTTCTTACATAACTGGGCAGACTATTTGCATCGACGGAGGTTTGACTGTCAATGGCCTCCTCTTCCAAGGAGCATGAATATAATTGGAAAGTTGAGCACAAACCATAATGTTTCTTTCCCAAATTCTAGTGATGACTGTAGTAGTGTACTAGTAGGAGACACTAATTCCATTGTATTCAAAGTGCTTTCTATAGAAATGAATTTTCTTCTTTGTGGCCCTAAAACTAAAACATCAATTTCACAGCTCATATTCCTAAAACATCACTAAAAAATGTAAAAGTTGTTTTTCTTTTTTTGATTTTTTTTGCCAAAGTTAGGAAAAGGAGGGGGTTTCTCACACACAGTTAAAATATGTTATTGTGCAGGAATTGACAGTGCTACGTGCAACTATGCATACACTGGATCCATCTTTTCTTGTGTTCTTTAACCTCAATATCTTGTGTTCTTGTGCACTTATAACTTAAAATACTGGGAGCAGTGGCCCTAGAGGTCAAAGTGTAGTAGAAAGAGATGGGTAAGAAGAACTACCAATATTGCCGCGTGTGAAAAACAGGTATAGCCGAACGGCTATACTATCTTTTTTTTTTAAAAACCCGAGTATAGCCGGGCGGCTAACTATTCATAGGAAAAAAAGGGCCCGCATAGCACTTAGGCGCTTACGTTTAAAACAAGTATGGCCGCATGGGTATACTATTTTAAAAAAACAATTACCCGGGTAGAGCAGAGCGGCTATACGGTTTTGTAAAATACGCGAGAGTATAGCCGCCCGGCTACACTATTTATAGTTTAAAAAAAGATCTGCCTAGTTCTTAGGCGCCCACGTGTCAAAACACGTATAGCCTGCAGGCTATACTATTTAAAAACAAATAAAATTAAAGTGGTAAAGCCGCGCGGCCATACTTTAAAAAAAAAGGAAATACCATAGTATAGCCGCTCGGCTATACGATTTAAATATATTATATTTGAAAGGTATCGCCGCTCGGCTATACTGTTTATTTTTATTTTTATTTTTCAAAAAGTACCCTCCTAGTTGCATTAATTTATACTTTATTAATATTCATTGGCTGGTTTCAACATATCTAAAGTGGATATTGAAGAGAGAGAAATTTCACAGTAAATCAATCTGAGAGTTCAATGTTTTCTTCTTCTTTTTTGTGGGAATGTTTGTCTTTAATCTAACTCATTCTCTCGAGTGAAACTTGTTGGAGGAACAACAATCAATATTATTCTAATAATTTATTTAAACAATTAAATTAAAAAATAAATAGAATAATGAAATTAAATATGGCTATAAATTAAAAACTTACTGTTCTTGTAGATAGAGGCTTGCAAAATTGCAATGTCCTAGGGCTTTGATTTCTGGCGAAATTTGTGTGTTTATCTCTGAAGCTATACAAGAATCATGAATGTTCTTTGCGAATTTGATGTAATTGTACAGACCCAGGGCTTGTGTTTAAATAGATAAGGACCAACATGTATCAGATAAGGACAAACTCAATCAGACAAAAACATTATATGATATTTGAATTTTAAAAATAATTCAAACAAATAATTAATTAACTGATCGGGTTTAATTTAAATCACATAGCCCAAGATGTGTATAGAAAACGGATGTATTATTGAAAAATATGAACGTACGTGCATAATACAAGTATTAAACGTAAAAATGCTATATTCTTTATATGGGTAATAACTCTGGCAAAGTAAAAAAGAAAAAAGAAAAATCAAAGGGGAGAATAGAGACTTGGGTAATGGCCTAATAGTAATGGATAATGCTCTAAACTAGTCTTATCGATAAAAGAAAATCAGGGAAATTTTTTTAATTATAAATGATTTATAAAAATAATTATTAAAAAAAAAAAAAAAAAGGAGATCCCAAAGATGGCCCTGACCTGATCTATATTGTCAATTTAGGTGGCTAGCAGTCAGCATAAAACGGAGCTCTTTTTTCTTCGTCAATTTTTGCATCCCTAGAATTCTCTTTTCCTATTTAAAGGAGTTCCCAAGTCAATATTGATTTTTGGATAAAATGAATAAAAGTCAAGATTCAATAAGTTCAATCTACACTCATGCTTGTTCGATTAAGAGATTCAATAAATTCAACAAAAGATTTAGTTGTGCTTCTTTTCTTTCTTGAGAACTCCTCTAACTAACTTGGGGAAAATAATTACCATTTAATCAAGTGCTAGTTGGCTATGCTTGTAGAAATTCAACTCCCTCCGACTGAAGCAACACATTCCACTATAAATATATCCCTCCTCGCTATATCTCAATTACCATCTTCATCTCATCAAACTTATATCTTTTCTTAATAATA